TTTTTTTTTTTTTTTTTTTTTTTTTTTTTTTTTTGAGCTTATAGATCATACACAGTAAAAATAACATCAAATTTACGGCAAAAATACGATCACTAAACAACAGTTTAAAATCACAAGCAGATAAAGAACAGAATAATCTGACAACAGAAGAAATTTTTGTTTTGCTCTTCAGATTTCTAATCGTCGATTACCGTACGATTATGGTTCACTAATGCATTATCATGCGGTAGCTCATGCAGTTAAAGTTTCTGACTTTACAATTGTGCCAAAAGAACTGAAATATGTCACCACAATGGGTACCGAAAGAATGGCTTTCTTGGACGCAAAAGTTATTAACGACATTTATTGCCCACGTTAGTTTTCAGAAAAAAAAATTTAATTTTCTTTGCTGTTTTTTTTTTTTCGTCTTATCGTTGCTATAATTTCCCTTGCAGACTATAGTAGCCGATTAAGAAAAATAGATAATATATTAAAAAAACTTTGTCGTAATACAAAAAACCTTTTTATAAATCAGTATAAATTTTTTATTTCACAAAAATTTTTGTTTCTTCATTGTTAGGCAAACTAAAGAAACCGATACAACTGTTTGACAGTGTTAGGCCAATTAAGTTATTGTTTCAAACATTTCTGTCATTACAATTATAATTGATTTCGACGTCTTCTTTTATCTCATTATTCTGCAGACGGTTCTTAAAAGTTGGTAAAGAAAAGAGACGTTACATACAACCGTTTAATGAGCCCTTGGTTGTTTTTTCTCTTAACATTTTGAAATTCTTTAGCCTAGTATATTTTTTGAAGATATTTGTGCTGGACGTCATCTAAACTGCCAAGCTGGAGGTTATCCAGATCCAAATAACTGCAATGTATGCCGTTGTCCAGAAGGATTAGGCGGTTATGACTGCTCACAACTTCAGCCGTCAAGTAGGTTCAACTTTACAAACTGTTATTATTGTTCTGTTTCTCTTTTTTTTTGACTTACTACTACAGCTTTGAGCAAAGTAACCATCACAACAGATATGTGTGAAAATAGGTGTAATACAATTTTTTGCAGTCTTTAATATATAGAATTCTAAAAAAGTGTGTAGTTTTTAAAGTTGTTGGTGTTGAAATAAATGAAAGACCTGGAGTTTTCGAAAGGACTTCCTTATTCCATCATAATAAACATAGATGTGGTTAGACGGATTAGATTGAATTAATGAGCACTGTCTTTGATGAGGACCTACTTATTCATCTTCCAAATTAAATTTGTTATTGTTATTGTTATTGCTATTATTATTATTGTTATTATTATTACTGTTATTACTATCATTATTGTAATTGTTACTGTTTTTTCGGGTTTATACAGATGCGTGAAAGACGCATATAGAAAAAGAAAAACAGGTTTAGGCTCTTTGCTTTTCCTTTTTTTATGTAGACTATTTTGTTGAGGAGATTATTGAATGCATAAAATCGCTGAGGTGTAACTGAATGGCGAAAATTTAAGTGATGTTTAACTTGAACATTTTGTCCGTGTCATCGGCCAGAAGTTTCGTCGGGTTTCAATTGAACGATAAAAGTCAGTTGCATACAAAACTAAAGCGTAAAATCAATTCTTTGTTGTTGCTTAAAACTTGTTCTTAACCACATGA